TCTTCTCAGGGCCACCAGTTTGCTTGGGGGTTTTCTTCACCGAGCCCTTTAGGGTTCAAGGGCATTATTCTGCTTGATTGCCTTAGAAGCAATTGCAGGCTTCTTCATACATAGGCCTTCCCCAAGTTCACCACCGCTGCGCTTCAGAGCCGGGCACAAGGTGCCCTGCCCGGCTGCCCCGACAATGTTCGGGGGCTATTTCCTTGCCAGGATAATCAGTGGCTGATGAACAATTTTATAACCTCGCAAGTGCATGAATCGTTCTCGTAGTCTTGGGTGCAAAAGCAAGGGTTGATCCCACAGAGATTTGTAAGCAATTTACTAATCCTAATAACTATACTTATATTAAAACTAAAAACAAGACTTAATAATGAAGAATTAAGGAAGATCACTTTAAAAGCAACAACTGAATAAAACTAAAATTAAACAACTATTAAAATTATCTAAAACCCAATTAACCAAAACCCAATTTCACCATAATTATCCAGCTCTATGTCAAACATCTCTCTATTGTTTATCAATTCAGTCTCTAAGGTTTGCATGCACTAAATCAAGGTATTACCATAAGGTGTTCGGGATGAAGGTAGTATTTTTAACACAAGACTAGCTAAGGCGTATAGTCTAACCTATGAATTAAAGACTCATTAAACACAGGAATGCTCGAAATCAAGAAAAAAGGCGCATCTATCAGGGCATATGCACAGACACTAATTATTCAAGAAATCATGAACCAGCTAATATTCTATTAGGGCGTATGCACAAAATACTAATCATTCATTCAATAATCTCAACACAAACAACCTACTAATTCACACTAAGTGTCGTCACACAATAATGAAAATTAAAGGTAGAATAAATACATGAATGAATCCAGATTTTCATTGAATTGATAACAATAAATATATGTTTAAACAAAGAGCATTCCAATTAGGCTACATTAGATCCCTAAATAAGAGTTTAGTTACACATTGACATTAAAGAGAGCAAACCTAAAATTCCCCCAAAAGCATGAATACTCCAAACCCTAGGAAGAATCTCCTTCTCTTTCTTGATAAAAAGTAACTCTCAATTTTGGTTAAAAAAAGAATCCCTAAAATAAATTATAAAGTCCTATTTATACTTTTCCTTTGCTAGGGGTGTTTTTGGGAGAGTCCAAGTTCAAGTTGGAGTTGGAAAAGGTAAGATTTTTATTTTTCTCGCGATCCACACTGTGGTGTGATATTCTGGCATTGCGGTGCCAAATTCTTCCTCAAACATAAAACTTTGTCACGCCGCAGTGCCAACTTCTTCATGCCATAACATGAACTTTCTGTCCAAATTCAGCTTCTTGTGCTACGGCGCAGAAAAACCATGCTGCGACGCATAAAAATAATGTCACGGCACCATCCAACAATTTTACATTCTTTCTTTTGCTTGACGATCCGACTTCCCTCTTTAGCACATACAAAGCGTCCAACCACCGTGTGAGCATAAATTAATCACTTTTTCTGCCTAAAAACCTGAAACTCATACACATACCCATGATTCTGGAAAATAGAAATATATAGAGAAACTTGCATAAAAATAATCCATGAAAGGCACGAGTTCCCTACAATCTACTCATAAAATCATGGAACATATATATCATTTCATCACTCATTAGCGGCTTTTGGCCAGCCTTGCGAGTTGATGCTTTCTTCTTCAGGCCGTTTGGTTTTTCGGCCCACATATCTATAAGGAAGAAACAAGTTGTTAGCAACCTAACAAAGCAGGATTATAAACATCAAGCTATCAAGCACTTACCTTTTTCAAAAATGGTACAGAATTTGGCTTCGTCGACAGAAGCGATATGCTTTCAACTGAGAAAGCATGATAAGCTCATTAACGTTGTGCTCACTGCTAGGGAGATCGCTAAATCATTGACGCTGCTCCAAGCTCACTTTAGGAAGGAAGTTCTACTCGACGATTACTACAAAACAAAGGGAATATGAAGTTAGTCTGCTTGCCAAGCTAAGAAATATTCTTTAGTCGCATGAAGGTCGGAGTCTTACTAGCTTCCGAAGAAAAAGTATGGGTCTCCCTGGGCTTGTAGAAATAATATTGTGAGTCCCAATGTAGAATTTTCTTTGGGACTTCGACCAAATCGTTAAAATGTAATTTCCTCGCCTTTAAGAGGTAGTATGTTTGGTCCTGACTCTTCTTAAGTATATACAAATGGACGAGCTCCTCTACAGATAGCTCACCTAGATCAGCTATCATGTACGCTATGTACATGCCTATTATTATTATATATGATTCCCTGTCAGTTGAAGGGGAGCAATGCCAAACGTATTTATGATGTTGGCAACGAAAAAATGAAGGGGAACGTACATTCCACACCTAAAGAGGGTATTTAAAATCACCGCCTATCCTTCGGGGGGGGGGGGGGGGGGGGGGGGGGGAGGGGTTCTGGGAGGCTCCCGAACCGCAAAGGAAGTTGAGTCGCATAAACGCTTGTTATGCACTCAATATCCTCGGCCACAACCAAGGAACGTTGTTCCTTTTAGGGCCTATGAATTGGAGACTTCCTCAGTGGAAGAGTTTCCACAGAAGCATAGTTGGAAGAGCCCATAGCATCGAGGTCCAAGCTTCGAGGTCCAAGCTTCATACGACAAAGTCCTTAGAAACCTTTAGGACTACTTCCCTGCGAACAGCCTAGGTCATAGGGGAATCAAAGAGTCGATCTATGTTGTGGGTGCTGGAAGAAGATGTGATGGAAGTTCACCTTTAGGTACCTGAAACAGAAGTGAGCAAGTGTCAGAGTTCGAACATTCGACAACTTATCCACACTTTGCTTTCAGTTCAGGCACCCAAGGTAGCTCGCATCGATCAAAAGATACAAGCGAGCTACCAGGATTCCGGCGGCTGCCTCCTTATACCCTTCTAAAACCCAAAATCAACAGGAATACTTAAAAAAAACCCTAAAAAATACAATAAGGCCATGACAATGGCCACCCTCAATAGCAAAAAGCGTTCAAAATGAGTAAGAGGGAAGAAAAAAGCATTGCCGAAGCATAAAAATGGTGGGAGTTCGCTGGAAAATCGTCATGAAATCGAGAAAGCAATGATTGAGCAAAGTAGCAAGTGAACTCAATATTTTTGCAAGTATGAGTTTCAAATGAAGTTAGCTTGTGTTTATAGTGGTGAACATGGGAGACGAAGAGGTGGGATTCGACCGTAATCATCAATCTACAACAAATCTCATCCCTCCATTCGTCGAGCAATCCTGATTGTTTGACATGGCCATGTGTCGATCATCCGTGAGGGATGATCAACCGTCAGACTAATGCAATCATAACCGTCACCGCACGTCTCCTCGACTTCGCGAGTGGACAACTGTAGTCGACCACGCACAGCGAAAAGTAATTGCAAAAGCCGATTGCATTTAATGTGACATGACCATGTGGAAATTACTTCAATGCCCCTCGTTTCAAATTCCAAGTTCATCAAGAATAACATAGCAGAAAAATTGCTAAGTCTTAATCACGTCGACTGAAATTAAGATCAACTCATGAAGCTCAGTCAAATCTGCATTCGGCGTATAACTTGTGAAAATCGAGCTTAATATCAAATCGAGCAATTAGCTTTTGAAGCTCAAAACAAGCACCGAACATTAGGGGACAGATTTTTTGTGTGATTTTTTCATTAAGCTTGGAGAACTCGAAGTTATAGTCCGACTCATAACCAGCTTAGCTTAACATTTGTTCGACTCAACATAAGCTCGTCGAGATATAGCTCGATCCAGCATAAGCTTGTCGCGACCAATCCTGACAGTTTTCAGTCAGATCCCAGATATTTCGAAAGGAATTAGATCAATAGCAATAATGGCGCAATCTCAGTACTCAATCGCGAGAATATTGGAGTTGCAATTCAATCTTAATTGTAATCATTTTAATTTCACTCTTTCTTTTGTAGAAACTTGTATATAAACCCCCTCCAACAATGGAGAAGCGGTTAGCAAATTGTTCTAGAAAATATTTTACTTTCTTGTAAGCTTTCAAAGCAATAAGAAAACACAGTGGATGTAGACTCAGGATTATAACTTGCAGAACCACTTTAAAAATCTTTTATGTCATTTACATTACCGCTTTCATATTCAATACTTTGCTGATTATTTGTAAACACGTACGCACCAATTCTGACTCTGTCAAGATCAATCAGATCGCTCTAATTGATGTGATTTTCGTATCAACAAATGCTATAGCACATTATAAATCAATTTACAATTTAGTTTTTTTTTTCTTTGTAATTGTTTCGGTTATGACTTGTTTAAACTTCTTACTTCCTAATATTTTTAAGATATATTATGGTTATTTCTATTTAGAGCATTAATACTATATACTAATGGTTTACTTAATTATTAATGCTATTCATTTTTAATGTGGTTATTTATATATTTTATATATAAATAAATTGGGAAGTGGAGTTGGTTTGGGGAACGCACTTCCCATGTGGGGATTCCGGATGCCTACACCGCTTAAATGATTTGGGGAACAAATTTAAGCGTGCCGACGATGTCGTCGGACGGGCCACCGCCAGCTACAGTTTTCGACAATTAGCCACCATCGTAGTGGCGGTCCGGCATCTGAGTGTTTCCAAATCTTTTTAAATTCAGTAAAAATAATTTTTTTTAAATTAAATCAAACAATCTTTCTAATATAATATAATATTATAATATAAAATATTATATATGGGTACTTTTGTCATGTTACGCTGCAAAATCAACTTAAATTCCTTGAATATTTTATAATGAAATTAAATTATTCAGTTTCAAAAGTTATTTACCAAACATTTTATATGCCATAACTTAAGAATAATAAAAAAAAAAATTAAGCTATAACAATCTGAAACACATATTTAATTTAACTAATTATTGTACGTAAATATAACGCATACATTATTAGAAAATAATGGCAACCAAACCATCAACTTTAAAATTACACAACAAATAAATAATAAGTTCAATACAAACCTTAAAATAATCAAGCAACTTGCTTGATAGAAGTCATGGCTTGTATCATAGTTAGCAATAGAAGTAACCCTGCTGCAACAGTTGCCGTGCCTTTCCAAAGATTGCTGAAATACACCCTATTTAAGGTGGCCTTGGTATGGTTCAAGGGATTGTTATAGTGTGCTTTTAGTTCCTCGCAGAGGTGGTAGTAACAAGAACCAACGAAACCAGTTTGAGAGCAAAGTTTGTTGAACATATTCGATATTGAAGCATTGCCGCCAAAAGAACTGATAACAATCCCCCCTTCAATGAGCAAATCCACATATTTTCCTGTATCGATAAGTCGCCTTTCAAATCTTATGTCACGTAAACATTCTCTTTTGATACCCTTAAACTTTACTCCTGACTCGTACAATTTCGCTGCACAAGGTAAGTTTGCAATACTCTTTCCATTTGGCTCGACTTTTGAGTAGTTTTTCAATAAAGCGATCCTTATCAAATCAGTGAAATGAACAACTGCAGTGCATCGAGGTATGCCGTTACACATCTCATAGTCAAAGTAGTTGCAAGAAAGCTCCATGAAGGTAGGATGATGAGGGCTAACATAAGCGAGCCTATATAATTCCTCAAGGATGAAGTATGGATGTTGATTTTCAAGTTTTAGCAACTCAATGGGTGAAACGGAATCTGATGATGGATTATTTATCAAATAATCACTTGCATAAAAACTATAATTGAAATACCTCCAGAATAGCTCAATGATAAAGATAGCATCATTTAGAATTACGCCTACGAACTCAGTACTTCCAAGATCGGATGTCTTTGCGTAAAAATTACGAATTTGTTGTTCATTGTTTTTAATGAAGGCTAACATTTGCTCCCATCTCTCCAAATTTATTCGTTGAAGAACACTTCTATGTACCCTGTAAATACAATAGTCAGGAAAGGGCTCTCAATTATGGTTAGTATTGTTTATTACCAACTGCCTATGCTCCTCATCTTTAACGAAAGCACTCATCATCTCCAACTTCATTGTCCTAATATCCAGCAAACAAAACTCATAACAATCAACCCTAGAAAGAAACTCATTTTAATTTCTTGCATGTAGTGATTTAGCTACTTCAAAATAATTTTATTCCAATGCTAGCAACACATCGAAATAGGTTAAATTATATAAACCGATGTATCATTGTATTTGAATTAGTTAAAGTATCTAATACAGTGCGGCAACAAGTTTGAGTTTTTTTTTCCCCCTACTGTGACACAACTTTGGCATAGAAGCTGGTTAAGAACACAACGCCAACATTGGGCTGTGATAGAGGAAGCCAATTTTTCTAAACTATTTATCTAAAATTATTTGTGACCTTGATTTATGCTTTAGAGTTATTACTATATTTTTTAATTTGCAGATACATAATAACTCGCTAATATGAATACCTTTTTATTAAAGCCAAATTATTTATAGGTTCTCAAATATGTTTATAGTTTTTTTGGTAAAAATTATGTATATTTCTTTTATCAATGTCCATACCTTAGATTTAACATACTCTATTTATTAATTATTAATATAATGCATATTTTACCTTTATACTACTTATACTAAGGATAACTAAATTAAAACAATAATATTTTTAATTACACCTCTATTAAATTATAATCTACTCTTAATAATAAAATTAGTTTAATCACAACACTATGACTATAGAAGGGTTTTAATTAATATATATATATATATAGAGAGAGAGAGAGAGAGAGAGAGAGAGAGAGAGAGAGTCATACTATTGTAACACAAATTATTAACTTAACCTGAAACAAAAACTGACTACCCTTCATCTAAATCTAATCTAACGGTTCACATAAATTTAATTAAAAAGAGTTTATATATACATCACCGACACTCAATTATTTCACCACTCTTACAAATAGAATGATATTTTGGTAAACAAAGAGAAATCCTCTCTCTCTCTCTTCAATCACCATAACCTATAAACGCAATATCTATTTGAATTGAACAAGAACATCATGAAAGCTCTTGATAATAGACATTGATTCATGCATTAATTATATAGATCTTCTACACTACAAGAAATTTAACATTTAGGGACGAAATTTTTTGTCACATAAAGTGCAAAATTCGTCCTAAAAAGTAATGTATGACAACATACCAAATCATCCCCAAAGCCAAGTCGCCAAAGCGTAATGCCCACGGAAAAATAATTCGTCCCCAAAGCCATGCCATTAGGGACGAAATACGGTTTCTTCGTTAAAAATTATTTATTTTGTGACGAAATTTTTTGTCCACAAAAGAATAATTATTCGTCCCAAATGAGACTGTTTCGTCCCCAAAAAAAGCACAATTAGGGACGAAATTTTTTTGCCCCTAATTGGATCAATCATTCGAGACAAATATTTTCGTCCTTAAGTATGTGGTGAATTGGGGACAAATTTTCATCCCTGATGTTGTGGTGAATTGGGGACGAAAATTTTCGTCCCTCATGGTGTGGTGGATTGGTGACTAAGAATTTCATCCCTCATGGTGTGGTGTATTGGGGACAAAATTTTTTGTCATTGATTGGGTTGATAATATGATGATTAACCGTAATCCCAATTTATGAATCAACCCTACTAATTTTCCTTCATGATAATACCCAGATTCATTTTCACTTCACTATATAAACAAACAAAACAACAAAAGCTGAGTTTCCCAAATCAAATTGCACTTCTTTATTAACAAAAACTGTCGACATTACAATTCCTACTTACCCACTACCACAGAATCTTCTAAGTAAGTTTCAGGATTCCAATCCCAAAAGAGTGAAACAAGAAACAAAATTGCAAACAACTTTTTTCTTTCCTATAGCCCAAAATCTTCAATGTTGTCATAGTTTCTTGGTTGCTTCCATCCCTACTACTTCGAGCTCAAGTTTATCCGCCCTAAATGCAATCTCTTTGTCTTCAACAACATTTTATTTACAATTCAGATTTTCTTGATTAGCTTCAAAGAATGATTTACCAGTTATTCCTCATCAAGTTGTTGTCGTTGCGACGTTAGTTGCTCTACTAATCTATCCAATGCTTCCTTCAACCACCCATATTGACTTTGACAAGCTTTTCTGGCTCCTGCCACACTCATCTGTACAAAAAAAGTGACATAATTATCAAAAAAAATTCTTTATAAGATATCTAACTACAAACAGCTTTCTGAATGCCTTTGAAAAATAACATCATTCACAATAATTTTTCCTCCATTTTACCGTTCGTTCAATTACCCACTGTTAACAGAGCGTTCTATATAAAATTTACCATGTATATGAGACACATTTATGTCAACGATGCCATTACTCAGGCTGATCAACACAACCAAAACTCAGAAGAAGACAGAAGAAGAGTTTTGATTGTAAGGGCAATAATTAATTGCAGCAAAGCCTGCCAATTTCAAGAATATACAGCAACAGAAATCAAAATAAATAATGGTCATTACTGCTTCCAATATATTGTCAAACACATGAACAAGAAAAGTTTCCCAGAAAGTTGAAGAGGGATTACATACATGAGATCAATGCCCATAAATTGAGGATTCAGCTGTACTCCAACCACCTAAAGAATTATATACAAGGTAAAAATATCAGGAATTTAAATACAGACTGTTAAAAATGACCAAACAGACATAAAGAAAGTATTTGACGGACACTAACTTTTCCATTTTCAGTTACACGAATTGATAATTTAGTTTGTTTGTTTTTTTTTTTTTTTTTTTTTTTAAATTTATAAAGGGATCTTTGAAAATGATTAAATTATAAAGGCAGTAGTTGTCTCAAAAACCAGATAGGATATATGATTCAAAGAAACATTTATATGCTTTAGAATAGATGTGTATTATGTTATTTATCCAATACCAGTCATGTAAAAGGTTTCCTATGACATGAGGCTTTAGGGAAGAACCCTGATTGTGTGACCTGAACCCATTAATAAATAGTACCCATGTCTCCTGGCATAAAATATAAAAGGCAAATGCAACAACTGATTAAGAAAGGAAAAGAAAGAAAATGTGATTTAATAATAAATAAAAATTAGAGGGAATCAATTCTGGTAGACACCATAATATTAGCTCAACTACAATGGATGCATCTAATAAGTCAAGAAAGAATACTTTTCCCTCTTAGTAATCAATTATTCAACATGATTGCAAACAACAATGGACGTCATGGGTCTTGCCAGGGTTGAAATAGATAAAAGAAAGTAAACAAAAGAAATGAAAATTTGATGGTCTATATTGAAGTCATTTTTTCCCATGTCTCTTCAGAGATCAATGAGATACTCAGCATCTTTTAAGTAACAGCAGAACTTTCTCAATCAACTCATTTTAGCAAAGCACTAATTAATCTTCATATGATAAAAATTGAGTTTTAAACATTTACAATCTACACAGTTGAGGTTGTGGCTCTACGGAGACACTTCAAATTTATAATTAAATGATTTGAGTCAGAATGCAAATTCAACCTTCAACAATGTCAATAAAATATAATGCTGTAAGTTATGATAAGTTAACTTGAAGAAAGATGCTGACACATAAGAGCATGCATGTACTCAAGAATAATGTTTACCAATTAAATGAATAAGTAGATTTCATTCAACAACCACATACCAAACTTTCCAGCCACCAAAGAAGAAACTGCATCACTTACAAGAAAACAAAACATTAAAGTTTCTGATAGCAGCTCAAGTTCACATAAATATCAAATAACACACTAAACCTAATTTAATTAGAAAAAAGACAAAAATACGCAACATCAAAAGTCAAGTCGAATGAGGGTTGTCCAAACATTTCATATATACTTACAATTTGAACCTATAATCTTAAGTTTATCACTTTGAAACTTTTATCATTTCACGCAACAATGCCTACTCTGAGTTTCAAAATACTCATGACACAGCATACAACATTTAAAAATCTGTATTTCAAGCACATATACTACCTGAATGTTTATTCAACATCATACTATCCTATTTACAAATTATAACATAATAAAAGTCACAAAGCCCCAAGTAATTTTAGGAATCGAAGATGATTATATAATTACAAGCCAGTGGATAAACACGGAGTAGCGAGTACTTACAGTAGGTGATATGAAATCCATCTGGGTACCAATTCCAAGTAACGCAACCAACAATACAAGCACACAAAACAGTTAACCCATTTGAAACATTAAAAAATACAAAATATAACACATCAAAATTCTAAAGAACTTGAGCAAATGAGTAAGCAAACAGCTAATTAAAACAAAACATTGCATCAATAATGAAGTCGAGTGCAAAGGGCCGATGGTGGAGTCGGAAGAAGTGGAAAGGTCGGAGAGGTCGGTTTGGTTGGATTGAGTGCGGAGAGATACGAGGCGGGACGATGGGTTGAGGGGAAGGAGGTGACGCTTGTGGCGGGGGTGGAGATGGACGGTGGAGATGGATTTGATTAGAGAGAGAAAGAGGGATCTAGCCATCAGTTTTGAGGGAAATTTGAGTGAAGATTGCAAAAATCTTATTTGAGAGAAGAAGATGACATTCTGGGACAAAAATTTTGGGTTAATGGATATTAGGTTTCTGGGGACGAAAATTTGGGGTTAATAGGTATTAGCTTTTTAGGGACGAAAATTTGGGGAAATTTTGGGTGGGCGCAAACGGGTGCTTGTTTCCCGGTTAATAATCAGGTATATGGTAATATTTCTAAAGTGCTATGTATTTTAATTATACTGCAAAGCAGCTCACTCTCCCTTATTTTTTTTTTTTTTTTTTTTATTACCTTAGGTTTTTCATTATTATATTATAAATACAATAGAAAACCCTATCCCATTTGACTTTACCCGAATCTAACCCAACCCAAGCCCAATTAGTAAATTAATAATAAATCCAATTACTAATTGAACTTACCATGAAGGAGACGCTGCCCCCTCACCCCTACTTGCTCACCGGCAAACGGGACCATCGCACACTCACCGAGGAGCAAGACCCCCGAATGCGTCTGCATAAGGGACTTCAAGCTTATGCAAAATATAAACCATATTCAACAATTGATAGATAATGAGTTATAAAAATATGAAGTTTTACTTATCAAAATTATATTCATAACATTTTCACAAAAAAATGCTACCATAGATACATATTAGTAACATATTTTCAAAAAGTGCTACTATCCAGTATTACTATTAGTCAATTTTTTTGTAATAGGTGAAGCAAAGAGCAAAATGAAGAGAAAGGGCAAAACGACGGCCGCTAGAGCATGTCATGATCCTCAAAGGTACCTGCCACACCTTCCTACCATTTTCAACGGATCCTCATTCGCCACCTACACTTAATTTTAAATTTTTTATCTTGGGTTTCAATCAATTTCAGAGCAGAAGTTCGAGACTCACTAGCAAGCAAGTCTGGGTTTTGTTTCAAATGAAATAAAAAAGGAAGTGGGTGTTTTTACATTTACCTAGAACTAATAATATTTGCTCCCTAATTAGATTTCCAAATTTTATACAATTAGAGATAAAAAATTTCGTCCCAGAAAAAAACAGGTTTTTATTTGCAAAATTTTGCGTTAAAAAATAATAAATTCGTCCCAGATTGATTTCCCTCTATATTATTTCATCATTCCATCCAAATGGCATTGTTGGAAGGGATGAAACTGAATTCATCCCTAAATTAAACATTTGTTGTAGTTCTAAATTTCATCCCTAAAAATGTATTTTTCACAATTTAGGACAAAATTATATTTTGTCGCTAACGAGTTTTCAAAATTTTGTACAATTGGAGACAAAAATATTCGTCCCAAAAGAAAAAGGCTTTTAGCTACAAAATTTTTTGTCCAAAAATAATAAATTTCGTCCCAGAATGATTTCCCTCCATATTATTTCATCCTTCCCTCCAAATGGCATTGTTGGCGCGGGGCAAAAACTGAGTGCTAATCATTTTATGACGAAATTATAATTTTGTCCCCTAAAATGACCATTTTGTGACGAAATTACAATTTCGTCCTCTAAAATGACCATTTTGGGACGAAATTAAATCCGTCCCTAAATGTTAAATTTCTTGTAGTGCTATAAGAACATTTGCAATAAAATATTCATGCATTAATCATATATAGCTCTTCTATAAGAAAATGGGTGAATAAGTCAAATGAAACAAATTAAGTGCATGTGCTGACTTGAGTTTGATCCTGCTTTCAAATGCCATAGCTAGCTCTCACTCGAGGGATGAAAATATAATGAATTATTTTGGGCTCGGTTTCCACACACATTTGTATTAAATACACACACGGGAAGAAACTGATTGGGCGGCATATCAATTATTAAAAGTTCTTTGGACCCAAAATGTGAACACAAGTTGGTGGAGATGCACATATTGGACTAGGAAAAGTTTGGAAATAAGACTTTGAATTTTTGATTACTCTAAACATATAGACTTTCTCCCTCGTAATAAATTGACCAAACTGTTCTTATAGCCATAATTTTCTGTCAAAAAGATGGCAATTGTTATGCCTAAAAAATCATGGCTGACATAAGTTGATGTCAGCAAGCACCAATCAAAGTTCAGGAAGATTTTGTGTCGTCCAGAGTTTATCACGTCGCCCAAGACAAAGAGAATATAGTTGTCAACAACCCAACCAACTCAAGTTTTGTCTATGAATGAATTTGGTTCCCACACATGTCCAAGCCCCATTTAATTTAAGGATATTTCCTAAGTTCTCAGCCAATGGGACGCTAGGAGGGATTTGCAGACACCAACCCACTTGCAGATATATAATCATTACCTTCAGCTTAGCAAATATAAGTAGTAGCTCCCCCTCACAAAATTAGGATCAGACACTCTGAATTCAACAAAGAAAATAACAAAGACACACTACGGGAAAGAGACTAACTTGATATTCTTTAAAAACACTTAGAATACTAAGCACCTGTAACCCAGATCGCAGTTCGTGACCTCTTGTAAATCTTGGCTAATAACCAAGAACTCACTACTATATAAGAAAACAGCGGATGTAGGATTCGCTTTAAGCATCCTACATCCATTGTTATTCTTGGATAATAACCAAGAATTCACTACTATATAAGAAAACAGTGGATGTAGGATTCGTTTTAAGCATCCTATATCCACTGTAGGATTCGCTTTAAGCATCCTACGTCCTACACTCTGAATTCAACAAAGAAAATAGCAAAGACACACTACGAGAAAGAGACTAGCTTGATATTCTCTAAGAACACCAAGCACTTGGAGCCTAAATCATAGTTCGTGATCTCTTGTAATCTTGGCTAATAACTAATAACTCACTAGTATGTAAGAAAATAGTGGATGTAGGATTCGCTTTAAGCATCCGAACCACTATAAAACCTTTATTGTCTCATTTACTTTATGTCTTTGCATGCAACTGTGAGAACAATACTACTTTAATCAACTCTCATAATTGTTCACTTGTAATATCTAGGACTTTCTTAGCATTTTGCACGTACGACATCATTGGTGTCAAAATCAAGCATCAACAGTTTGGTGCTAGAAAGAGGGGTGAGATTCACATTAGCTCTTTATCTAGTATTTTCAACTGATCCGTCAGTTTCATCTTCAAAGATCAAACCACAAAAACTCATGACTCATGGTTTTGAAGTTAAGCGCACTGGCACTAATAACAAGGAGACTCCCCATAATCAGGAGACTACTACTCCCAAAGTAGTTCTTCTTTCCTAGAACATTGCAAAGAGTGTCCCTTTAACTTCCCAGGCAGATCTTGCTTTGATCAGTTACTTGGAGAAGTTCAACAACACCTTCCAAACGATGAGCTAAAGGTTGGATCATTTGGACTAGGGCATGCCACTGAATTCAGACTCCTAAAACGTATGTTAGCCACTCCAAAGCATGGAAACAAGTGAAAGCTCATACAACGCGTACTATAGCACAAAAGAATAAGGGTAAGCAAGTGGCCAAGAAAGGGTAGAAAGGCTTAAAGAGGCAGGCGAATACTGGTCGCGAGTAAGGGAAGAAACCTGTGGCTCAACGGCTTGGCAGTATGTCGCACCAAGAGCAGACCTATGACACGTTGCAAGGGCATGCTCATAAGAGTGCTCAGGATGGAGATTCCCACTATCATTGACATGATGGTTTTAACCATCATGGCGAGGGAAGTACCAATTGTCAGCGGGTTGGTTCCAACACTGTAGAGGTAGGGAAAACTCCCCCAACCACTCAGCACCTTCATAGGGCTCAGCTCGCAAGTGTCAAGGCATGTCGAAGGCTCAGCCAATGTAGAGAAAGCACCGACCTGTAGTCTTTCATCAACCGCAATGTAGGTATGCAGAACATACCTACATTGTGAAAAGTGATCCCTAAAAGGGTTCACTTCCTTAGATAGAAGAGTTACAGCAAGCTCTGGATCAGCTTCGAGCTCAACAGAATGAGTAGGGAGTGGTCACTAAGGCGTCTTCCTTTTCTCCAGTAGTTCTAACTACTCATCTCCTGTCAACATTCAAGATGCCTGACATAAAGGCATTCGATGGGAATATTGATCCTCAAGATCACCTCTACAAGTTTAACGACCTCATAGAGCTTCACAAGGTTTCAAACTTGGCTAAGTGTTGTTGCTTAGCAATGATTCTGACTGCCCATCCTAAGCATTGGTTCAGATCACTTCTAATAGGGTCTATCAACTCATGGTAGCAGATGAGCTCCTTGTTCTTAAGACACTTCCAGGCCAATCGGAAGTTCTCAATGCCACTCAACTATTTAAGCGACATACGGTAGGAGAAGAATGAGTCTCTCCAATCCTACATTGATAGGTTCCATAGGGAACTAAATAAGGTAGCTAATAACTTAAAGATTCGGTTCGAACTCTGATTATTGTCAAAGTTCATCTACAAACCGACCCGTGGAAGAAACTGCAATCAGAGGATGATATTTCCCTTACTTGCTTCTACAACTTGACAGAAAAATATCTACGAATGGAAAACTCAGTGGTAGCTTTAAACTGCCACAACCCTGGGCCTTCGACCAGCATTCCTAATCAAAGGGAAGAATTCCAAGGAGAAAGTAGTAGATAAACTGATTGTAAATAGGCTAACGACAATCAAAGAAAGGGAAAGAAGCAACAATTTGAGCCCAAGAAATCTTATACTTAAATTTCTCGTCACGACAGCGATAACTTCACTCCACTAAACACATCGATCTCAGCAATTCTAGCTAATTCAGCAGAGACTAATCTAATCTAATCTACTCGGAGTTCCAGAGCCCATGAAGAAACCTTTGTCTAAAAGGAATGGCAAGAAACATTGTTGTTACCACAGGGATAATAGGCATCATACTGATAGTGCCGATTTCTCAAGTAGGCAATTGAAAACCTTATCCAAAAAGGTCAATTCAAAGAGTATGTGAATGGTCCAACTCCCTTGAGGGAGAAAGACCAAGAAGACGATAAGGAAAAGCATAGAGGTTACAAGGGTCTCTACTTGGTAGGGACCTTCACTAGGAGACCTCATATTGTAGGGACCTCTCAACATGCACATGATAAGTATGCCCGAGAAGCCCGACATGAACCCTTCAATGTGCTCAATCTAGAATCGCAACCAAGCAAGCTATACAGAGAAGAGGAGATTACCTTCTTTGAGAAGATGCGAAGCGAGTGCACCACACTCATAAGGATGTATTGGTTGTTATGGCTAAAATAG